TCACAACACTCCGTGTCTTCATTTCCAACATGGACCCGCACATCTTTTACAGGTGCTGCCGGCGTGTGGATGTCAGTTTGAGTAACTGTTGCCCAGGTAGGCTTGACCGGGGTTATCCTCGCCTGGTTCTCTTTTTGTAGCTGCTCTGGCTGCTTCTGTATCGTTTTTTCCACGATCTTTTCGCCATGATTCTGACAGTTTGGTCGTGGGGGGAGGTTGGGAAGGACTGTTCCTGGTCCTGACAACATGAATTAAGCTACTGCAGCTCTGAGGTAGACTTTCATGGAGTCTATAAATTGAACACTCGTCCCTTTGGATAGAGGTGTGAGTGCATTCTCCACATCGTTGATGGTAGCGGTGCATATGGTAAGGTTAAATGCGGTCTGGGCCACCCGCTGTTCTTCGGCTTCAAGTATGGCTCGAAACTCAGGAGGAAAAGTCGCAGTGTTCTTGGAGCTACTATCGCTGCAAGAAGATTGATTGTTTCCACTTGCCCCTGGAATGGTATTCTGAGTTGTTGTGATGGATACGACTTCGTCGGCTTTTTTTAAGTTAGAATTAGCTGTCCGCTTTATGGCCGTAACAGCAATCTTTCTCGTGAATATATTGACGGAGGCCTCTGGGACCTGACCGTCTTTGGGTTCATTGATATTCTATCGTGGGCTCTCAAGCCCCTCCATGATATATCGGTCTATAACTGCATCACCCATTTCAACATCGGGGTTTGTGGAGCTAGAATCTCCTTCGAAGGCTCTTATCCTTTCGGTCATGTCTAGCTCCATTTTTCGCCCGTCTATCGAGCTCAATGGTATGTCCTTTTTTGCCAAGCGCTTTTCCAGCTTGGTATTCGCTCTATCAATGGTTCTTTGAAGGCTAATAGGTCGCGATGATTTGGCAGGCCCCGGAGACATATTTGAGATCCGGGGTCTTGCTACTGTGAGAATTCGGATTAGTTTACTTGTATGTGAGTCGGAGGGGAACGGTGATGGTAACGGGGTATCTAATCGATTCTCTCCCGAATATTCAGGAATTTTAGCACTGATATTGTGTCATGGCTAGATAGCTGCATACGCAATTAAAATCTGATGCAAAAAAAGGCGGCACGGGGCATGGAATGTTTTCTGCTGAGTTGAAGTGTTGAAGTTTAGACATACCAGGCCAAACTTTTGTTTGAATAATTTATTGTGTATTCAGCTATCTAGCTGTGACATATGTTTGATGACCCTTTTATCATTAGACATTCATACCCTTGATTTTATTCGCAAATACCACTGTGAGATATATTTTCTTACGCAAACAGTCGACCCTCTTCCGTTAATACCCAAGGGGTCGTTACAATACCTTTGATTATTCAAGTATGCCTTTGTTATCCATGTAAACTTGCACCGCGAGAGATGTGGTTATATTTTGTCGGATTCGAACCAGCAATCTACTGTCTTAAGTGGATTATATGTCCATGCTATCCAGAATCTGCTTGGGAGATAGGCCCAGATGATGTACCACCGCACCATACAGCCAAGGCATCACCTGTTGCATCACCTGCACTCTATGACTGACTCATAGCAGAAGTAACCCAATCTACATTCCTGTAGACTTACCCTGGTTTCTCACGTCCAGTCAAAGAGCTGTCCTCCCGGTTTCTGCGCCACGCTTTTTATCTCCGGCGGGTATAAACATCAGCGTGGAGATTCAAATGGCGGCTAGCTAAGGCCAGAGAAAGTCTAGGACCCAGAAAATGCTGGAAACTATTATAGATAAAGCGTTAACTAAGCTCTGCGGCAGGGCCCGGCTTTTCACTCCTCAGACACTCCCACTGTCTCCAAGAGTGATGTCAGTCTCAAAAATCTCTAGTGCCATATGTACGTCACGACTGTCTATGTAACAATTTACTTATCGACAAATGGTGCCAATATTGCTGATGCCCGAGGCTATTTTAGCCCTCATTTCCCGCGAAATAGGGCCGAAATTCCGTCAATCTGACCCACGCCAGCTTAGACTATGGTTCGCCTTACATCAGATGGGCGTAAGAGATATTATGACACATGCTTCACGAGGCAGGCTTTGAAGGTAAAAAATCATAAGTGAGTAGAAGGTAGTCTACCTGCAGAGAATATGCCTCAATCAGGACCTTTGATTGCCTTGACAAAAGACTCATCATTCGTCGTGTAGATTGCACGATATAAGAGGGTTGTGTGAAATGGAAAAGGACTGTTAATTTTGTTCAGTGGAGAAAATAAAAATACATCATTATGGTGTAGCGTATGAAAAACTGGATGTTATAGTATTAAAAGGACAGAACAAAATTGGCTCGTTGAAAAGATGAGAATCGTAAATCTAAAAAAATATTGTTGAAGCTTTGTCGACTAGTGATAGAGATGAGATAAAGGTTTATGAGTCACGATGTATGTGATGACTGGGATGTGGACGTCTGAGTTCCTTACTATTATTTTTGTACTGGTTAGGGATGTGTTTTCTAGATACAAAAAGGGATTCCTCCATATACAAGTAGGCCAGATCGCTCAGGTCTAGGCAGCGGCTTTCGCCATCCTGTTCCTTCTCCCCCGCATAGCATCACGTGCTACACAAATAGTGCTCACCATAAAGTCCGAGGATGAAAAGCGTTAGATTACAACAAATGTGAGATAGCTTGACAGGAACGTCAAATGGGGATGTTAAACATTGCAAGTGTAAAAAAGAGGGAGAGGTTTGCTTATTGTAATATTTGAGTCTACAACTATCTAGCACATTGGGCTCCTCTCTGACCTAGGCCACACCTTGTACAGTGCTCCCATTCTCTTTTGTTACTTGAAAGATCATTGATATATTGCCCATGATGGATAGCCGTTTGGCTTAGTATTTTCCCGTGGAATTCAGCCTCTTTTTCCATGGAAACTTCTACCCAAAATAATTAAAAATGATAGCAACAGAAACTGCGTGCGCGGGAAATAGTCCAAAAAACCTGCAGCCCCAGCCAGGCGAGGCCTAGACACCGAACCACATGAGGTGCGAATATTCATTTCTTCCTTCCCTCTTTGTTATCATAGAGGCCATCGTCGTCCAATCTGCCATCGCCGTATCGGATGCTGGGTACGCTCCGGAAGCTCATGGGACGGCTTTTCCCCCTTGATCAAGGGTGGGAGATGAAAAGGGCTTCGACCCTACCATTTGACCCGATGGTGGTTGGCTTCATGATAATGATTATAGGGAGATGTGTTGATAGATGAAGACGATGCAGACCGCCTAAAGTGATTGGAATCTTCATCGAGGCGAGGATAAAGGTGTTACTCTACGGCGGCTCTACAGACTCTACAGTGAGAGCTGGAGGTTCGTAGTGGACTATACAGACATGTGTAGAGAAGGGTCCCCTTTGCAAGAGTTAAAGACTGAGTAAGAGCGTATGCTCGTTCTTTGATTTCATTTATTATCTGACCTTACTCGGCCTTGCTCTGTTTTGTTCAGCACCAGTCGATCTGGCGACAGTGTTTAGCCGAAGTTTAATTCAACGCGTGAACTACCTCTCTAGATACTGTGGTGTAAGTTGTGGGTATCATTTTCTTGGAAACCCTTAAGATTTGGACTCATTTTTCAAAATCGGGCATACCGTTATGCGCCTAACATGGGGCCTCGGGATTTCGCCGTCTACGATGAGGGCATAACCGGCGCCTGGCTGGCAGACAATGAAAGATTTAGTCTGGGCTCATCTCAAGGCCATCAGGGTACTCATTATAGTACTGTTGTGAATAGAGATCGGTGCCATTAGAGGGCCGGTGGCGCGCCCATTTAATGTGTTAGTTCTGGGCATAATGTGGAGCTGTGACTGTTACAAGGCTCTTTGTTTCTGGAAGACGTGGAGTGTAGTGGAGCTAGTTAGCTGAGCTACAAAATCTGCCGGTTTTTCGGCGAGGGATTTCAGAGTGTCCTGGGCACCACTGAACGCCGTTGGTTTCTACCCTAGCTCAGGATGCGAGTGTCATGGTTGTCCTGCTGGCTAGGAGACTCAAAAATATTACTCTTTGTTTTGGGACTAGTGCGGCAAAGGACAATAAATGCAGTGGCAAAGCCGCCTCCTAATCATTTCAGCAGACTGTTTTGCTGGCAATGCAAAAGGTCATTTCTAGAGAGAAGCAGCTCCGAGATCCGTGGAGAAAGTAGTGGCTTCGGCATCCAAAATGGATAGTGCCGAGGGCGATCTCCTGGGCTGTACCTGGCTATAATGTCTCCACTAGTAGTAGGGACACGGCATTAGGCGAAGGAATTGGAAAGGCTCTGGGATACCATTCTAACGCGACTGTAATCTAGAAGAAACTTCCTGCATCATCCTTACTACGTAATGTGTTCGCTCAGATAACTTTGGATACAACTCAAGTATTGCATCGAAGATAGAATTAACTTGCTACACATCATATTCACCACTTCATACCCACAAGGTGCGGTGTAAATCAATCATCATTACATTTTAATTCGCATCATTTAGAGGTGTTGACCCCGTACCCGTTGCATTCTGGCAACGACTCCATCTCGTCGGCTAACAGTGGGAAAATAATCTCACGACCTGCTCTATCAAACAGCTGACGACTTAAGCCATCAAAGTTGCGTTATTTTCAGGCGCTCGGCCCAGAAACCCACAATATCTAAATCTCCACACTCAACTTGACACTTGGCAGATGACCTTGATAGATGCCCTTCGATCCCACGGATCACAGCGTGTCGGATCTACTCGACGAAAAATACCACTGCAGCTCATCAAATAAACCATTCTACAGGCCTTGGCTCAGAAGACTATGGCCAAGCCACCCCGACTTTCATTCTGCAACCATGATCCCAAACCTCATATTTACCGTGCCTGTTTGAAGAAGCTGGCTGCCCAGTCATTTTGAAATAAGCTCTTAGATAGGGAACTCAACGTTGATATAAAATGGTACAAAATAGTACGATACCTCTGCATCTAACATTCACCACTTCACCTTTTACCACCATCATTACCACACTCTCCTTTAAAAATGCAGTCGGTATTGCTCTTGACCATCGTTACACAATCGTTTATAGCTACAGCTTCTCCTCTGGTAGAAAGGGCTACACCACTCTCTTTTGCAGAGAAGAGACCACAAAGAGTCTCCTATGACTGGACAGCACCTTATGTCAAAGATTTTATAATTCACGGGTCATGTAATGCTACACAGACAAATGTACTCCGCCGTGGTCTAGAAGACGCCGTAACCCTTGCTCAGCATGCCAAAGAGCATAGTACGTATTTAATCTCTTTTCCTCCAAGCAATACTGAAACGATCCGGCGAAGTTTTGGTTCACGGAAAGAAATCACCAATTTATCAAAAGTATTATGGGGCGCTGCCAACAGGGGCAGTGATTGGATGGTTTGACACGATAGCGACAGCTAACCGGGCCGGTGTTACCTTCCGTTGTGATGACCCAGATAAAAAATGTGCAACCGAGAACCGTACGTATCACCCGGGTACACACCACGGCTAGTTGACAATGGAATAGGATGGGCTGGTCACTGGCGCGGGAAAGATGCTCCTTCAGAGACGGTCATCTGTGATGTTTCCTTCTTTGAACGGCTTCCTCTGGAGGATTTGTGCTCGCGCGGCTACAGAATTGCAACCGGTAAAGTATACTCCTACTGGGGGGCTGATCTAATCCATCGCATGTTTCATGTGGACATTGTTGGTCAGAACGCCATTACTCATGCTTCACACGGTTATCAAGATACTCTCAAGCTTGCCGCGGGCCAAAATTACACCCAGACTGCTACAAACACCGACTCTCTCATTTACTTTGCGGTTGAGGCGTATGCGTTTGACATCAGCGTGCCCGGAGAGGGCTGTGCTGGCCAAGCCCCGTCTATTCCCGATACGATAGCCATTCCTCCAACTGCTCCAAACACGTTGCCAGATTCAATCGTTATTCCTTCCCCAAAAGAGCCCGAAAAGAAAGACGAGCCCGAGAAAAAAGCCGAGCCCGAAAAGAAGGCCGAGCCCGAAGCACCAGGGAAGAATTGCCATACCCATGACGACGGTGAGGTTCATTGTGTCTAGAGAAATGGTTTTAGGCTTTTTGAAAGCTCGATGCGAGGCTCATGGTATTTACTTTAGTCATAATAATAATTAACCCTAAATTACTAAGGACGTGTATTAAGTGAAGGCGGGTTGGATGGTGCAGTGGTACGCCATCCGGGCCGTTCTCCCAAGTAGATACTGGGTAGCTTGAACACCTACCCCATTCGTGACAGGAGAAAGCTGGTTCGAATCCAGTCGGACCCACACACCACTCTCTCTCGCGGTGATATTGTACTTGCGGGATGATGAAAGCACACTTGGATAGCCACAGGTTTTTCTCGCTTTTCCCTGTGGTGGGTATGCACGGAAGAGGTTATACGCCGTAAGGGTTAACCTCGAGTGGTATCTGCAAATGAAATTTGAGTGTGAGTGTTCTAATCATCAAATTGAGTCATCCTACGTAAAGTACATATCTTCCGATAAAAACCTGCATGGGCCTCAAGGCGCCAAATCAGGATAATGAATGATAATAATAATAATAATAATAATAAAAGTGAAGGGCGAGCATTGAGCACGAGGAACAAAAATAGCTTGAGATAACATGTGGGATGGATACAAAAGTTTCGATTGGGCATAAAGTTTAGGACTCATAAATATATTCCCTTAACCATAGCCAGGATAGCATAAAGTGAATAGACATGTTGACTTTAAGATTTGCAGTAAATGACTCCTCAAAAAAGTGACCTCGACTTAGCGACATGGTGCTCTTAGTTCCCTTTTGGTTTGTCACTTTGAGAATGGCTTAGTGGGGGATTATTTTCAACACCTATCAGTGGTTTCTCCTTCGAACATTCAGCTCTTACTATATATTCTGCCAAGCCAAAATTGAATAACACCGTCTTTATCTCTAACCATATCTCCCTATCACCATTATCATGAAGCCAACCACCATCGGGTCAAATGGTAGGGTCGAAGCCCTTTTCATCTCCCACCCTTGATCAAGGGGGAAAAGCCGTCCCATGAGCTTCCGGAGCGTACCCAGCATCCGATACGGCGATGGCAGATTGGACGACGATGGCCTCTATGATAACAAAGAGGGAAGGAAGAAATGAATATTCGCACCTCATGTGGTTCGGTGTCTAGGCCTCGCCTGGCTGGGGCTGCAGGTTTTTTGGACTATTTCCCGCGCACGCAGTTTCTGTTGCTATCATTTTTAATTATTTTGGGTAGAAGTTTCCATGGAAAAAGAGGCTGAATTCCACGGGAAAATACTAAGCCAAACGGCTATCCATCATGGGCAATATATCAATGATCTTTCAAGTAACAAAAGAGAATGGGAGCACTGTACAAGGTGTGGCCTGCGACAGATGAGCCCAATGTGCTAGATAGTATATGACTTGGGTGCTTCAACAAATCCAAAACTACCTACCTGGTCCATTCATTGGAAAGGCTTCCGTAATCGAGTCCAGTAGATTGCAAAGCCTGCTGAGAACGAGCTCTGTTTCTGCGAAGCGCATCCGAAATGACCTCGCCCATATAGCGAGGAAATTAGTCACTATGATCATCACTGACTCTCTTGGCTTGTGGGGTTAGCTTTAGTATATCACCTTGAAGAATGATTCTTCGAACTTCCGTGGATTTTGTTGTTGTTGAGGTGGCCCGCTGAGGTCTATTACGACATCTTGAGCCTCAATTCGAGGGTGAGGGGGAGGCCTAGGGTGTTATTCCAGTAAGTTGTGAGGATGAATATTTTAGATAATAAATCGTTGTGTATAGTAGCTCGATGTGTATATTAATAATATTTCATCATAAGTTAGCGATCCATATAAATCTCATGTTACAGCTTGGGAATATTGGACACTGTGGTTGACACACTAGCTAGTCAGGTTTAGAGAATCCGTGGTGTAAATACATAAGCTAACGGTAAATTAATTACGACACGTTAATGTATGTTTTTGTACATTGAACTACTAAGTCCATAGCTATATAAGGACATGAAGGGCCTTGTGCCTAAAGGCCGGGTGTATGTATTTCCCGGGTAGTGTACTCCCTCCTATGCCTCTTTCGCTCTTTCTTTCCATCAGTAGTATCCCCACAGATCTTTATTGACTAGGCACTAGGTGGAGCCGTTATCCCGTCTTTATCCCTCCTCTCCAGCAAACGAAACGATGGCCATTTGTGAGCTTGGCTTGGTTTGGTTTGTTCTTTTTTTTTATCATTTAATGTGTATTCAGCTATGGAGCTATGACACATGACCAGTGCTATGTTTACATGTTGGATAACTCTTTTGACGTTAGAGACACTCATACTCTGGATTTCATTCGCAAATACCACTATGAGGTATGCTTGCTTACACAAATAGTCCACCCTCCTCCGTTAATACCCACCAAAGGGAATTTCGAAACCTTTGGATTTCCAAGCATGCCTTCGTCATCAATGTACACCAGCACCGCGAGAAATGTGATTGTGTTTTGCCGGATTCGAACCAGCGATCTACTGTCTCAAGTGGGATATGTGTCCAAGCTATCCAGACTCTACTTGGCAGACCGGACAAGACGATGTACCACCGCACTATCCAACCATGGCGGTGTTTATAGTGTCGCCTGCACTCTGTTTGGTTTGTTCGATGACGTGCTAGGTAAGGTGACTACCGTTGCACTCCTACTGGAGCTTGAGCATGGGTAGGACAGGGCTGGATCAGGTTAACTGCTATTAAGTATATCTACCTCGTCCCACCTAAATGACCGGACCACCTCAGACTTCACCCATGTGTTGAACTATGTCAAGGCCAACCGTCCAGAGAACCCTCTTTTGACGCGCCGAAGCGTAAATTCCCCCTCAGCCTCATCCACCACGCGCCCGAGCCCTTGACACCTTCGCGATCTGTAACTTTTCCCTTCCATTCAGTCCCAAGTTCGGCTCATCTCATCCAGGGGTCGTTTTCTTCATTGGAGGCCTCATCCAGTCGCTCACCAAGGTCTCCTCAGTTTGTATTCCCTTTTTTATTCCTTCATGTAGCGGCCATATGCGGGTGTGTAGCTGGAGGGAAAAGTCTCAAAAACCACTGGGTTCGGGGCTCTCCTATGACGAAGAAGCCGGCAAGCCGGGCGCAGTAGACCTGTATATACTTAAGAGCGTCTCTCAACCTTCCTAGCCTCCTCCTTACTACTCTCCTGATTCATGCCGTAGGACAAACCGAAGATCGTGAAATGATATCAGAAAAGTCTTGTTCAAGAGTGACTGTCGTGAAGGAGCCTAGCCTAGCATCGAAAAGTCGGTACGGACGTGGGGTTGTCGGGGAACTCATGGATTCTAGATGCCCTCCTGGATATTATGCTCTGAAGTTAAGATTATGAGGGACGATATTGTAGACGAGTCGAAATCTGCTTTTCTTGAGGGCGGAAGGGTCTTTTACTCTGCTTTCGAGGGCTTTTTGTTCGCCTGCCGGTGGATAGCACATGTTGTGATATAACGAGGGCTTCTATGACTACCGTTGTAGCGTTTGGTACCGCATTATCTTTCCTCATTCCCAGCATCATTATCGTCGTCTTTGTCGCCTTATGAGTTATCGGAAGCGTATCTTTGACGGAGGGGGAGATAACTCAGCCCAGAGTTGAAAAGGTGTTACTCAATCTCGGATCTGCAGACTATACAGTTAGAGCTGGAGGCTCGTAGGGGACACCACTGACAGGTGTTGAGAATAGTCCCCGGTAAAAGTGTGTGTTACGGACGAAATAATGTGCGAGCAACGCATTGCTTGGTTCTCTGAGAGGATATTTTGTTTTATTCGCTTTATCTTAGTTTAATGTTTTAATTTGCCGCAACTTTAGCAGCGATTCACGTGGTGAGAAAAAGTTGGACGTGTCATAGATATGATCTTAGCTGTAAACATCGGCCTTTGAATCTTAGGAGATAACGGTTATCTCATAGGACCTTAAAATTAATACACACATACATTAATCTCGTTCCTCCTGAACGAGCAGAGAACCTCAAACTCTATCTGCGTGCTAAATGTTGAAATCTAGACATACCAGACCGAGCTGCACGCAGTGCGGAGTAGACGAAGACTACTCATCTTCGATCGTTACCAGCTATGGTGAGGTCTCGGTTGGTAATGATCTCGGTGGTGTGAATGTTATTCCATCACATAATCAGAACATAATGTTTCTACCTAAGCGAGGTAGAACATAGATAGACAATTAGATGTAGATTAAACCCAAAAAAACACTTTTAATAAACCAAAAACCTCACTGATCCTAACCTTTTATCTCTGATACTTAAATCCCCAATATCTTACGATTCGTACAATATTGACTTGCCGGTCAACGTTCAGTTCTATCATTCTAGATACCCCCTAGAACTTTCGTACTGATTTCATCGATTGTAACTATACAGATAGCTTAATTTTGGCACGTCGGGATTCAGATTCCTTCCTAAACCCAGCCAACACACGCCTGGACCCTTAACACCTTCTTATTCTCACTTTTCTCTGAAAAACAGACCCAGAATCTCCTCATCTTATCTAGGGATCAAATTATTCTAAGATGGCTTTTTCTGTTTTCTTCCTTTATTGTGGCTATGCCCAACCCTTCTATCGAGACCGCCATCTTAGAAACTTTGTATACTTTCCGCCCCTCCGGTGATGCCCCGACGCTATCGTGCCCCTACCCGTGGAGGCCGAATATAAGTCGAAGGGGTCAAAGTTGAAGAGTCGATTCCTAATCCTTTGTCAGATACTCTGATTGATATGCTGGCGAAATGTCGTGCACGTTTCGTGGGTCGCGGTTTGTCGCAGGCCTTGTTATTTATGCGCTTGGCTGAGATATTAACTGATGTATGGCTATTACTTGGGCCGTATCTTAATAGAGTGCTGTAGTTGCGGCCGGGCGCGTGCACTTTTGTATTTTAGATTACGAGTATTACTTCTGAATTATGGGTAGTTTCGGTAGGTAATGAGATGAATATGGCAAGATTAGCGAGTTGAGTTTAGATGAGATACATCTATCACGAGTAATTATGACTGTGAAGAATATTGGTTTGTTATAATGCGAGAATCAGGAAGGTTTGAGATCATTAACGTCTCGTGGTAGGGGTGTAGATGTTTGTTTTAGTTGGGTTACTCTAAGCGAAATTCCTGCAGAACGAGTTACAGCAAGTGTTGTTAACTGTGACACTCCCAACCGCCATCTCGACGAGTATTCTCAAAGATAACCTCTGTCGCTATACCGTCTTAACTCTGAAGAAAGATTTGACCCCCATGTACACAGGGGACACCACAGATAGATTTTCAGTTTTTTTCTCTCGGCTTGTGTTAAATGGTGAAACTAATGATTAAACACTCTGCAATTCAAATGCACTGAGTAATACCCATGAAGGTCAGGGCTGAAAATATCAAACGTGCGTGACTAAGCAGGAAAAGGGCCAGAAGACGACAACTGCCGAATACGGTAACTTGAATTCTAGCAAAGAGCGATAATTCACACAACCTAAATCAAGAAATTTATCCTCCAAATCAAACAGAACGGCAATGGTAACAGTAAACCAATTGAATTCCTCCGAACACAAGTCTGGCTCGTCGCTCGAAAACGATGACCCAACCCTAGTCGGCGTCCACTGTCAATATGCGGCCTGCCATCAACTTGACTTTCTACCATTTCGATGTGAGTCCTGCCACCAGCTATTCTGCCTAGATCATCGTACGGAAACCAACCATAAATGCTCTAAATCCGGCGAATGGGCGAGCCGGCGGCGCGAGGCCGACCTCTCGAAACCTTCTCATCCACATCCACTGCCCTCATTACGCCAAGTGGAAAAATTGTGTGACTTTGATGCATGCAAGATTACGATTGGAACGAGCTTATCGACAGCTGTTCACTGCAGCGCGTGTAATCGGGAATATTGTCTCAAGCACCGCATTATCGAGGAACACAACTGCCGCAATCAGGTTCCTTTGGGGGCTCGCGCCACTAGCAGTAAACTTATCCAGACGGAACAAGCTAGTGTTGCTCTTGCTAAGCTCAAAGCTTGGGGGCTCACCCAACGAGCCAATGTCGTCCGCTCGCTCTACAAACCTAAAACTTCCTCGGCCGCTACGAATCTTGCGGCCCTAAACAGCCTCAAGAAATCTGCCAAAGGTGATGTTAAGATACCAGTAGAGAAGCGCGTATATCTCAATGTCCAGGCAGAGGCGGCCACTACGACCTCCAAGTTGCCATATGGCGCATTTTTCTATTCACGCGACTGGGTAGTGGGCAAGCTTCTCGATAGTGCAGCACAGAGTTTGCAGGTTCAGAATGTGAATAATCACAGCCTTGATGAAACACATAAGCTACGTATTTTTCATGTTGAGGGTGGTCGCCTTCTTGAATTCAATGAGAAAATCGGGAACTCACTGGTGAATGGGAACACTGTAGTCTTACTCCGAGGTATCGGACCCGCTGTGCCAGATCTCATCGATCTAACTGCTAGCTAAACTACAATCCTCGCTATCCAGGTGATTAGCTAAGTATAGGGTAGTATTGACTGTACGAGGTACCTAGAAGTGTGAGACTAAATCACATGCATATCGTCATCCATTTACTATAGAATCAGCACCATGCGACATGTTTCTTGAAACAAGTGGATCCCACGATAATAAACCTACATATCCTATACAACAGAAGATGAATGTGTATATTCCCCTCTCCCCATGTAATTCTATGAATTATTAAGGGAAAAACTTATTGCTGTAGTGCACAGACTGGAATCAGGGAAAGAATTACTCTAGGCTTCAATAGGCACCAAGTCCGTCGCTCTCATCTACTCTTTCACCTATCATAGCCCTGCAGTACTTTTTCCCGAGAACAAAGGAGACCACAACGTACTTACACAATCAAAATACGAATTTTTTGATGACGGTAATACTGCAAAGCAGCGTAAAATTATCGGCTTCAAAAATTGGCACATAGATATCGGAGGTAATATAAATAGTCTGGAATTTGTAGATAACAGTAACCCTGTCACGGTAGAGGGCGTGTTTATTTTGAATGAGAAGGCGACTAAAGGCCACTGTCGTATGTCCGCTGCGAATCTACCGTTCCATCAGTCAGTCAAGTTCATAGTGCCTCTACTTGAATGAGGGCGAAGGGAACCCACCAGCCAGATGTAAATTGGTTCTCAGCTCATAAATCATCTAATAGAATAGGTTCGAGTGCGTTGGTCTCCCTAGGACGATTGAGATGCGTATAAGCTCTTACATCACCGTAAAATTAAAATACTTGGTATTTGGAATAGCTCATCATATTTAACAAACTTGTGTTACTTTGCAGGCTAATATTTTAACTATCAATATGGCCACGTTTAAGATTGTGTGTAGTGTAGGTATTGGTATTGGTTCTCTGATTGATCTTTGAGCGTGTGCCGCATTATGTTGACATATCCTCGAGACAGATTGCACGATGCAGCATTTCTGGAGCTTTCTGTAGCAGTAATAGCTAGAAAAGAGCTTATTTTCGGAAACTACACCTCTGATACCACAACAATTTTATGTATCAGGTTTGCTAGATCTAATATGGCCATCTGTCGCAAACTTACGTCCTGTGATATGTGGAACACCTGTAACCCGCTGTTCCTCACATCTTTTTTTTGCATCAGATTTTAATTGCGTATGCAGCTATCTAGCTATGACACAATATCAAAGAAAAGAACAGAATATATAATTCAACGTAGGGGAAGAACACTTATGCCTCGGATTTCATTTGCAAATACCACTGCGAAGTTATGGTAGCTTTCCCTTGACACCAAGTCAACCCTCATCCGTGAATACCCACTCAGGGGAACGTCTCAAAAACCCTGAGTTATCCAAACATGACTCCATCTTTCAACTTTTTTCCGCGCGAAATATGGTCTTGGGCGTCTCCTTCCCAAGTGGAGTATGTGCCCAGACTACTCAAACTATACTGGAGAACACCACCAGGAGGCGGATCACAACACCTCCCATCGTTTGCTTGTGTTTATAGTGTCAACTGCACTTTCGCAAGCAAAGTCTTGGCACGCACAAAGCTCAATTCCTAAAACTCTTGCCAAAATTCGGAATTTCACGCCCTTCGAGGTTATATCCTTTCTTCTGCATCATCTTGTAAACTTGTTCTGATCCCTCTCACGTCCATCCCAAAGAGCTATCTCCCAGATTTGTGCTCCACGCTTTGCTTCCTCCGTCGGGTATAAATATCGGCGTGGGCGTGTATTTGGTGACCGGCTGAGGCCAGAGAAAGTCGAGGAGAGGTGTGGTCATTGAAACGAGGATGTTCTAGGTCGTACTTGTAGACTTGATGAAGCTTAGTTGAGAATCGGACTCTTTGGGAGTAAAAGATTGATATGGTGGAGTAATTTGAAATTTTGCCTCGTGAGCCAACTTCTTTGATATTGCGAAATTTGACTGAACTTGGCTCTGGGAGAATATTTCACCCCCAGATTCGTAGAGGACACCGCGTACGGGTATTCAGTCCCGCCCTCCGCTGTTACACTTTGTTGAAGTTAAAAAGCGCCAGAATTTCTGCCATCCCTCTTGCCCTATCATATCCCTTATCAGGGGCCTTGTTCCTTCGTTTCCACCCGCCATTTCTGAATAGCCAGGCGACGTTCTGTAAAATACCATGGCCGTTTTTTTCGGCCGCATTTGCAGAGCATTTTTACATTCTGGTGTTGGAACCGTCTGTGATAGCCGGCGAAGTCACCATGCCCAGTCCTTGCTGCGATGAGGCGGTAATATGCCCATCGAGGTAGAGCTAGCTCCGTAGGGCGTTTTCTTCGCATCAGCAGGTCCAGGACTTCTTACCTATCCGTTCTGTTCTTGTGCCACCAATCTTCCGCCAGTTTCTGTACGCAGATTTTGACCTGGCGCTTGATAGCTGCGAATTTCAGGACTTCATGAGCTTCCTAGATGATCTTTGGTCTCGGTAAATTCCCTTCCCTATTCTTTGCTGCAAGTGCTGCCTTTGCTATGGCGTCGGCATAACGGAGTTATGGTTGTAATTATTTTTTACAGAGGAGTAAAAAGGGTAAGGCGTTTGGAGATCTTATATACCCTGCATTAGTAGTTCCATATTCGCGTGTAGATGAGCCTTGTAGTGGAACGTTGGTACGAGCTAGGCTGCAGCATTCTTAAGGAATGCTGAGACTGTAGAAATAATACACGATTATTCAACTCTATACTTTATCGAATCTACTTCCAGCCACACTGTTCTATCCATGGAAAGGAATCATAATCTAAAACTGTTAATCATTGCTTCAAATGACCTGTATTTGGCCTGTCGGAGAAAGTCGCCTCTTCCAATTGCCCACTGCGGATACACCAATACCATGTGCTTGACATTTTGTGACGGATGTCCACATTGACAGCTTGGCTTTTCTACTCCGGGTAATTTTCTGCACAGATAGGAATTGAGCCCGATATGCTCGCTTCTTAGCTGAATGGCGACACTGCATTGCGCCCTGGTTAGGTTGCGGTGAATGCTTTAGGGTGTATCTTTGAAATTCATTTTTGTGCTGCCTGTTTGTTTATCAGTTAATATTTTTGCCGCTTTCCAATTTTCTGGATCGGCTGATGCTGGTCGGCCGGGGCGCTGTTTCCTTTTCTGGCTTGTCCATGAATTCTTCCACTCCTGAAAGACCGCTATCTTTCCAGCTTCTTTCTGCCTCCCCTTTTCCTTTCCGCAAGTTTTTGTCCATTCGGCGATATCTCTACTCCTGTCTAAGGCATGCGGAGTTTCTCTCCCGTTTGCGGGAAAATTTATCCTCTTACATGTTGGTTGTATTGTATGTTGTGTTGAAATATGATATATTTTGGAATGCCAAGAATAACTTATTAGTAAGTCCGGCTAATTTGACTATCAAATTCCCCATTCTATATCACTGTTATCAATACATCATTCACCGAAAGTTTAATGCGCATTAGCGTTTATTTCACACTAGAATACCAGCGGATGAATATGTCTTAAATGCAGTTTATAGTTTTCTCGTATCTATTACCGACACACATGTATTTATCTTTATATCCCTGGCCCATATATGTGTATGTACATAGATCTACATCTACAGGGATCATAGCTTACGATCCATGAAGATTGATAAATACTTGTCAAAAACCACGTGTGAGAGAACGGTACGCAAGCCTCTCGCATGTGCATGTTGAAAATGAATTTATTTTCTATCTAAAGAAGAAAGTTGTAGCTAGGAAGGGTTTTGGCTAATATAAACATGACGCGTCGCGTCACTCGCGAAACTTTACTAAGCAGAGTCGAGGCTTTTCCCAAAATAAGTATAACGCCTATTCGGAGCCGGATAAACTCCGGATCCATACAAACCAGGCCACGGCCTGTAACACCACAGTTGATAAGATATACGAGCACGCAATCTCACTCTTATCATCTCGGTTTTACTCAGAATAATACATCTCAGTACAATTGTTTCCACTCGGATCTTCCTCTCACAACCTCATACAAGACTTACTGCATCAGTCTACCCGCCTACACTGATTCCGCTATAACCTCCATCTTCGCTCAAGCTCATAACTTTAACATGTTGAACGGGGAGTTAAGCTGATAGTCCGGTGTACTGGACCACTAAAATTTACTTCTAATGTTCTTAATTTACTGTTGGAAAAGCGGTATGAGTTCGATAAGTAAGGTAGCTTCAAAGAATATAGGTGCCATTTATGAATGAAATAACAATGATATAAATCGCGAGAACATGTGATATGCTTTGGAGAAATAAAATAAATCACTGAAATTAAATCTGTCTTGGTGATTCCTAGACAGCCTATAGACATGTATTCTCAGTAGACCAAATCTGAATCAGGTACTATCTACTACTCCTTGTTTCTTACTCTAGTAACAACAATGAGTCGCACGACAGTACACAACATTAGAATGGAATCAGGGTCGCTGGATGAAAGTCTATTTCGCGGGTATCAAACCATAACATGCACTAGTCGAGTCTCACGGACCAAATATACTCAGTTAATGAATGAATCAAATTTTATTCGTGACAGGCACAAGCCCTGCACTCAAAGAGCATGACATGGAGAAGACTAGCTTCTCCGACGACTATATACGACGATAACTTAGTTTGACATTTGGACTACTCATTTAGTGGGTGCATTCCCTGATAACACTCGAGACCTTGATGCTTGGGACTTTCACCCTTTCCTCAACCGTTCATGTACACCAAAGGGGAAACAGGAAGAACCTTTGGATACCCTAACGTGCCTTTGTCATCTTGTATATAGCCATCGCACGAGATATGGCCTCACAGTTCTCCCTTTCTCGAGTGAGGTAGGTGTCCAGGCTACCCAGACTTTAATTCGGGGAGATGACGACTAGGAGGCAGACCAAAACACCCTCCATCGTTGCCTGTTTTTAGAGTGTCGGTTGCACTATCTGAAATTGTGTGAATATTGGCGTTAGTATTTTATTTTTATTTCTATTTCTATTT